CCCCAAAACCCCAAAACCCCAAAACCCCGTTAGAGCAAATTACGGCATTAATGATAAAATTGTTTAAAATTAAATAGATTGTTTAATGGAAGTTAATAGATTAAGATCTAAGCTAAAACCTTATACTACGAATAATCCAAGACGCTAGCACAACTTACTAGAAAAACCTCTTCATAATCATAGTTAGTCTTTGTCAACTTTAAAAATGGTTGCCTCTACTTTTGAATCAGTCAAAGACAATACAAATACTCATAATTTCAAATCAATTCTTACACCATCCTCAACAAATTCCAATAAAAATCAGTTATTTAAATCAATTGCAGCTATAAATAACTCAAAGTTTCAAGTAATAAAGTAGCAGTCTTCAGAAAATAACACTTATTTCTCCAATATGACTCACAATCAATCACCTTACAGACAAGATAATGCTAAAAATAATCAATACTAATCAATAATCTTGTAGAATACTGATAATAGAGATGAAATAGCAAAAAGATAGGACAGTCAATCAAGTTTTAATTATCAATAAATCAGTTCAATTCCAATTAATGCTCAATATTTGCATCATAAAATGTCTGCTTAGGTCTCGCAAATATTACCCACAATAATTAGTTAAACATCTTCAACCCCGAATCTGTTTCAAAATGAGTCTTATTTTAGAACGATAAGCATTGATAATCAGAATAATTAGAGAACAGCAAATCAGAGGCCAACTATCCCAATTAAATTTATGAGTACAATGCAATTAAACAATGATAATGACAGCAGGAAAAATTTGAATGATGGCATAAAATCTCTCAAGTTTAAATCTATACGAATACCTTAATACTCAGGCTAAAAGGTTGAAAGCATATTGCCTTTAAGATAAAAAAATAAACAAAATAAAACACCAAAAACCAAGTTCGAGTAGGATTTGATTTTCAGCAAACTTCAAAAGCCTACTCTCTCTAAAGCTAAAAAGGTATTGGATAAAAGGCCACTTATTTCAATGTATACTAAGACTCAAATCATTTAAAATAATTAGAATGACAACGATTATTAAAATGATCAAGCATATTAAGATTAGGTCCTACTCTAGTAATATGAAGACTAGTAAGAGCAAATTCCTAAATTTGTTATCACTCAACCTCTATCTCTAAAAAGAGAATAAGTTATAAGCGCTTTCCTTGATAAACGACAGAAACCTGATCCATAATAAGATTCTTTATCTAAGAAAAATAGTCATCATGCAAGCTATTAAAAAATAGTCCTACCTGCATCATCTGCAATAGTAAAAAGAGTTACTAACTTTGAAAAAGATGTCTTGTCAAGCCTATTAAATCAGTATGATCAAGATAACTTAGATAAAATAAATAGGGAAATTGAGCTAAATAAGGCTTCAAAGCATGATAAACTTATTTAGTTAATAAATCATTGCTAGTCTAATACTCTTGACTATATCAAAGAGCCATAAAAGAAAACTGAGGAGTAATTGGAAAAATTATAAAAAGAGATAGAATACTATAACCGATCTAAAAAGAGCAGATTGACTATGATTGATGGTATAAGTGTAAATGGAAATCAGATAGACTTTGATCCCAATGTAATAAGACCTTAGTAAAATATATAAAAGTTGAAGTCTAAGCAGCAGTCAATTTTAGATGAATAGAAGGAAGACAACTTGACTGAATTGCAAGATAAAGAGTATTAAATTGATCTAAGAAAAAATATTATGAAGTAAAATAACATCAGACAAGCATTTAAGCTGATAGAGTATGATGAAACTGATGTTAATAAAGTACCAGTCGTAAATACTATTGAAAAAGAAGAGATATTAAGCTAAGAAGAGGATATAGATTAAGCAAACATAAGAGTCAAAGCTATGGAAAAGTATATTGACAAAGCCCATTGTCATATTAAAGAAACATTTTAAAAGACTTAAAATGACGTAGCTACCTTAGAGAATGAAAAACTGAAGGTAAAATTCAATAATATCTGTCTAATTAAATTATAGATAATAAGATTTCATCAAAATGAACAGACTGATTTTAGAGTTGATTAAGAAGCTTTGAATCCAGTATTAGCATAAAAACTTGAAGAAATTTGTGAGAAGATAAAATTTGGTGATACATTGCAAGTTTATAAGTTACTCTAGGTCAGGCCAAATTTAGCGGTGATAAAAGACAGAGTAATATCAAAATCCTTTTTTAACTTTATATATAGTTTGGCTAATCTGCCTTGCATATTGCTGTAAAAAGAAGACAGTATGCAGTTATAGATGTGCTACTTCACTTTAATGCAGATCCATTCAATAATCTTAATAATGTAAGTTTATTTATAGACCTTAATATACATACTATAGCTATTAAAATCTCCTTATAAATTGGCTTTAAAAATCGGTGATGTCAGAATCCTAGATATGTTCAATGAAGTTAAGAATGAAACATATCCTTTTAATCACAGCAAATTTGATTCACTTCAGTATCTAGACTCAATTAGAGCTCCCGAGCAGATAAAATTCTAGAAGCACTAAGAAATGATCTCACAATTCAAAGTGGACCTGGAGGATGAAAGGAAAAAGAAAGAAGAGTACGACAAAAAGAGACTTAATGGTTAAACCAAAGATAACAATTATCCAGCTGATGTAAATAGCTCATCTAAGGAGCTCAAATTTAGTGGGCTTAAAGTCTGGTGATGACGATATTTATGTGTGATTAAAGCATTTATTATATATAAATATGAGCTACCGTAAGCAAATAAATTAAGACTTTAATTTATTACCCAAAAAGTAGTTGATGTTAATTTTAAAATTTCGAAAATGCTTGAATTAATGAATATATCAGATTTTCCAATTATTAATTAAATCAAGTATCTAATAAGGCTATAATCTTTAAAGAAAATGGAAAAAGTTATTCAGCTCACAAAGCCCCTCGACAAGTACGGAGACAACGTTCCACAACTAGTTGAACTATCAAAGAAAACCAAGCTCCCAACTGGTGTTCTACTATCTGCAATCGTTCTTGTGTCATCAATTCTTATTCTTGTGTTCTTCGGTGGAATGATCCTCAGTGTCGTATTCACTGTCGTTTATCCCTCAATTCAAAGTATCAAGGCTATCGAATCAGATGGAGAGAATGATGATAAGGAATGGCTTACTTACTGGACCATTTTCGGTCTCTTCCACATGGTTGACGAGTTCGGCGGCTTCGTTCTCAGCTTCTTACCCTTCTACTTCTACATCAGACTCGCCTTCTTCTTATTCCTGATGCTCCCACAAACCAAAGGTGCACTCACTATCTACAAATATATCGTTGGACCAATCCTAAAGCAACACAAGGCCTCAATCTAGGCCTTCATTGATGAGGTCAAAGGATCAGCTGGAGACATCACCTCCGCTGCCAGACAACAAGCCATGAAAGAATTAAACAACCCCGCCAATCTCATGAAAGCAGCTCAATATGCCAAGGATGCTCAAGATCAAATCAACAAGGCAGGAGGAGAGGCAGCTTATTCCCAATAATGATTAGAGTATGGTTGAATGAGAACTAACAGAAGATATTTCATATATAATTCACTTAAGAGTATAAATACAATTCCTATTACCCCCTAATGCCAATGTGCTTCATTAAAGATATTACGACGTCATTAGCTAATAGGAATCATATTTATATTAAAATATACAATATGAATTGTTTATTAGTTACCTCATCCTACTCCAATCTTCAATCATACCGGGGTTTTGGGGTTTTGGGGTTTTGGGG